GTGTGTGTGTGTGTGTGTGTGTGTGTGTGTGTGTGTGTGTGTGTGTGTGTGTGTGTGTGTGTGTGTGAAGAGTTCATTTGCAAAAACAGATAACTCCGTTTTTAAAAATGTTTTAAAAAATCATGTTTTTTTATCCTGCATTCCAATTACTATCAATCAAACTGCAGTTGGGTTGTTTTGATTAAATAATAATAACTAAAAAAAAAATACTAACACAATAAAAACATGATTTGTGAAAATTAATAAAAACGGAGTTATCTGTTTTTGCAAATAAATTCTATATGTATACTATATATATCGTTTTTATTTTAGTTTTAGTTACTCATTTTTACTTAAAATTACTTATTTATTTTAATACATGTATTTAAACAAAACAAAAATTAGAAATGTTGCCTTGCCAAATTGCTGAAATTAAAAAACAAGTTTAAGGTTATTTATTTTATTTTATTTTATTATTATTTAGTTAGTTAGTTATTTATTTTATTTCAAGTAGCATTTTATGGTTTTAACTATATGATAACCCTGATGTGAATTTGCCATTTTTACTTATTTTCAAAAGCTTCAGGCCCATTTATAGCATATGACCATGATTTATTATTTACTTGTTTTTATTGCTAGTTGTGTCAAGCCAATTAATTAGGGAGAGGGACATTCACATTCTAGAGAGTATTTGATTAATACAATAAGCAAGAAGAATGATTTTTGATTTGGACAGAGATCAAAAATTTAATTGTATAATTTATAGTAATATAGTAATTTTGTAGCATTTATAATCTGTTACTTAAAGTTAATTTCATCCCATTTGTGGAGGTTTAATCTTAAACTGTTTTAAGATTTCGAAACTTTTGCTCAAGACAGGAAACCCTAACCTGCTCCACATGGTGTAACAAGTCTTTTCATTCACCAATGACAAAGTGCAGCAGTTTGCTTGCAGTGCCCCCTGCAGCCTGTGATACATAAACACATTTTCTACCCCAAACAGAACCCAAAACCCAACTCTGAAGAGATCACCCTCATCTCAGAGCAGCTATCCATGGAGAAAGAAGTAGTGCGAGTTTGGTTCTGCAACCGACGGCAGAAAGAGAAGAGGATATACTGCCCTGTCTCCACTTCACCTATGAAGTCTCACAACTACAACCCTCGTCTGGTGAGTCTGAGCAATCATTACTGAAATTTTGCAAAACATTAGAACATGATCCATAATGCACATGTGACACACTGTCATAACAGTACAACCTAAATGGTGACTATCAAGTCTTGTTACTAATAATCTCTGGTTCAACATGGATAAAGACAGATCTTACTTGTTTCAAACAGGACGTTTTTAAGGAAAGTTGAAATGTATTTAATAAAACATTGAGATTTGGCAATATATTATATTACACAGTTCAAAGCTTTGGGGTCAGTAGAACATTTTTTTTTTAAATATGTATTTAAATAGAAAAGTTACTTTTAATCATAATAATATTTCAGAGTATTACTGTTTTTCTATATTTTTGTGTAGTGTACGTCATGCTTTTTTTTTTTTGATGAAATCAGATGAATAGTCACAATATGTTATAATAAAAATCATTTATCTGTTTAGAATGTTTATAAGATTATCATTCTCTCCAAAGTGAGTGTGTTTTGGAATGCTTTTGTGGTTTAAGTGATGTTTGTTTTCCTTAAAAATGTTCTCCACCCGATTTCCCACTAATTTGGTTCATTTCCTGTTTAAGCCTTCAACTTCCCGCTCATTCAGTCCACTTGCCACTGGAGGTGGTAAGTATTGAGCTGGTGCCTCAACAAATATTTGTAAACATTATATATTTTTTTCAGATTTTTCACCTGCAATATCCAATCATATTTTCATGAATACTTGAGCACTAAGGCATTACAAACATAACAGCATGACTTCCTGTAAAGCTGCTTTGTAATTCTATGTATTGTGTATAGCTCTATACAAATCGATTTGACCTGATTGTTGTTCCTGCAGTGTCATCAAGCTCCTCCCCCAGCAGCCCCAGTCGAGGCTCCTCCCCCAGCATTCTGTCCACTACATCCAGTCCACTGACCGCACAGGGGGTCAATCAGACGTTCAACACCCCAGGGTAAAACCACAGCAAGTTACTTCACACATACAGCCATCTTAACTTGAGCTAACTAGACAAATTATGAATTCGACTCTTTCTTAGATCCTGGTATCGCTGGAACACCACATCATACCACCACTGAGCCCCTCTGAAGGCAACAGCTTCACTTCATAACTTACCAAACGAGAGAGAAATACTCATTCTGTAATGTTTACAACCAGCACTAAATAAGGAGGCAGAACACGGGGAACCACTATTCTGCTTCTCATGGTCTTATGTTCAGAGGGCTTGTGAGTAGAGCTTCACTGCTAATTACCGAAGGGAAAAAGCACTAATATGCAACGGCGCATTGTTTAGATATGCAATCTTGCTACAAAGAACATGACACAGACATGTTTGGCATTTTCAGCAGAGCTTTTAATGTGCATGAAACCTTATTTCACTTTCTGTGTCAAATCTCTGTGCCAATTTTGTTGGAGATGAAGGTTCGAATCTGGCTTTTTGTGTACTGATAACGCTGATGTGAAAAACTGCACATAACCAAAAACAAAACCACTGATTTTTAAATATCTTGTTTACATATTGCTTTGTTAGAGACTTGTTTTAAATCATGTAAAAGGATACGTTTATGATGAAGTTTCATACGCTAGTGTTCTTGAGCGTTATTGGCCCTGCTCAAGGTCGAGACTGGAAAAGCTGGCTCTGATATGTGTAGTAATGTTTTTTAGTGGATTGGTCAACAGTTTACAGTTCTCAATATATTTTCAGCATACCTAGTTTTGTGTTTCTGGATATTTCTGAGGATTTCTGGAAGGGAAAAAGTTTTATATGCCTGGCGTGGAATGTGTGCAGTTCACACTAATTTTATGCAACATTGTCCAAAGCATTTGAAGTTCCTTGATTTTCACATTTTAGCTTTTATGTATGATTAATAATATTATCTAGATATTGTTTGTTTGGTTGTTCTTTGCTTTTTTTAAATTTTTTAAATTGAATATCACTTGTATATTTCTGTTTCACTGTTTGACTGTTATTAAAATTTGCACTTAAATTTGTTTCTTTTTTTTTACCACAATATAGTGTATAGTTTCTAGTTTATAACTTTTGAGGTTGTGCTCACAATACTTTTGAGCACAATTATGGTCATAAAATCATAATTATGAAAAAATGTCATAATTTTAAGACAGAAGTAGAAATTATGCAATAGTGTAATTTACTAAGTATAAAGATGAAATGATAAGAAATCATGATTATGACAAAAAAATATTTTTTTTTGTAATTAGTAACTCAACAATTTCAACTTTTCATCATCATTTTGGCTTTCAACACAATTTTCTAACAAAACAAAAAATATGATGGTATTTACACCTCCAAAAGTCAATAACTTCACCTGAGTGTCTTGAAGAACTGAATGCTACTAAACAATGATTTACTGCAACCTTAATTCACCAAAACATTATTATCTAAAAACATTAGTAAACAAAACATCAGATCCTTAGACAAACCATAAATCCGTCACATGCAACCTAAGAATAAACATTCACAGTTTAACAGAGGTGAAGGGACACTTCAAGAATAACGATAAATACAAAAATGACAAAGTAGAACTTATGGCAATAGCCTATATGTTCTTAATAATCAATTTTGATTTCACAAGAAGACATGTACCCTGCAAAATATTTTTGTCTGTTTGCAACATAAAGCTACAGTTTCACTTCAGAAGATGTAGAATTAGTGCATTAGTTTTATGAACCACTTCTATGGTACCTACTTTTAAAGCTTGAAAATGTCTTATTTTATGTTCCACATGGTTTGGAAAGACATACAAGGGACTAAAGTGTCATTTTTCTTCTAGAAACGAGCGACTATCCTGCTTGTTCCGGAAACAGGTGTTACTTAAAGGGATAGTTCACCCAAAAATGAAAATGTGATGTTTATCTGCTTACCCCCAGGGCATCCAATATGTAGGTGACTTTGTTTCTTCAGTAGAACACAAACGAAGATTTTTAACTCAAACCGTTGCAGTCTGTCAGTCTTATAATGGAAGTGAATGGGAATCACGGCTTTGAGAGTCAAAAAAACATACACAAACCAAACCAAATTAAACCCTGCAGCTCGTGACGATACATTGATGTGTAAAGACACGAAACGATCAGTCTGTACAAGAAACTGAACATTATTTATATTGTTTTTTACCTCTGATGCTCTGCCATGTCTGAACTGTTTTGAGCGCGTCCTCGACAGCCGGCGCGTCACGTCTTCTTCTTCTTGCTTTACGGCGGATCGCAGACGTATAAGTGCATTGCCGCCACCTATCTCTCAAATGGACCATTGACACTCCTAATTGAGATTGTAGATAGAGTGTCAATGGTCCATTTGAGAGATAGGGGGCAGTAATGCACTTGTAAGTCAGCGATCCGCCGTAAAGCAAGAAGAAGAAGAAGA